TTGGGGGATTGGGTTTGATTTTTAAGGCCTAAGCCAAAATTGTTCAAATCGTCTGGATCAGGAGATTGGGAATATGGCAACAGATGCTCATTCAGATGCTTGTCAACATCAATTACGTTAATCTCATTTTGGGATCACATCTAAAAACACTGTCTGTAAGTGCAATTCTTATGAGATACCTATGCACTGATTATATTCTTTTCTGTATGGTAGGACATGCTTGTCCTGTACTTTTCATTGCCCACCATGCATTCTGTCCTGTTAATGGCTTTTAACTAGCTATATGTAGTGGTAGCCATGTCAAATAGGCCTCATGTGGCATACAGTACATGAGGGAAATTCATATTAATGAGGATGTCCATATTCATTGTTTCTTTTATTTTCCTTCCTCATTTCAGTTTTACTCTATTCTCATACTTTCAATACAATTGGTGTTGCACAATATTAATTGACTACAGTGTGTTGAAAGAGTTATATGTCTGTCTAGTTAAAGGAAGGGGACTCTTTGATGAGGGCAGAACAATTGGAGGAACTTAAGGTACATATGTAGACAGGGTAGAGGAACATTAGGGAGGGCTGTGCACTGTTTTAAGTCATTCAGAAACAAAGTCAGAGCTGATACCTCGTCTTTGTCCAGCATGGGTCTGTTATCATTGATGTCCACTACGTGGACATGAATAGTCCCAGTGCCTGTGTTGGCTCCAGGAGCTCCATCCATATCACTTCCTGTAACTGTTAAGATGTAGGAGCTTTGTCTCTGTGGACAATGGGAGACAAGTTCAGTTATAAGGCATATGAAACTTAAGTTAAGTTTTATTTACAGCAGACTGTTTCCACTACGTTTATTTAACCTCTCTGTCTAAGGTGTTTTCTTTAATGTAGATGGATCCGGTGTTTCTGTCTATGTAGAAGAGGTCCGTGCCATCAGAGGGCTCCTGCTTCTCAATGCTGTAGGCAATCTTTGAATGGGAACTGTTGGCCTTGTCTGCGTCAGTGGCTGTTATCACCCCGACAAGAGTCCCTGGAAAAAAGCAGATAACGTAAATGTAAAAAGGTAAAGCTTTGCGCATTTGCCATTAGGACTGTCACTAAATCAGGATCGACTCAGAAGAACAAGCCACACTGCCCTTCATTTCCATCACCCTTCTCTACTTCTTTATAGATCTTTTTTCAGCACCCTCAATCCAGGGTTTGAATTATGGGTCAACCTGTTGGGGTGTTTAAGACACCAGTGCAGTTTTATCGTTATTTGCAGGTGGCAGACATGTTAAACAAGCACAATATTTAAATGATTGTAATACCTCAGTTCACTGAAGCATGCATATGCGCTGTACTGGGTTCCCTTACGCCAGGGGTCTCAAACTCAAATTGTCTAAGGGCCAGTGCTGGTACTCATAGTTAACAGTTAACAGTCTGTGACTCTAAATCTACTATTTGACTATAAAAGCTAAGATTATTCAAATAAAATATGAGAGGGGTCAGACGTAAGATTACCTGTTAGAGACAACTACACCCAACCAAGAGAGCAGAGCATTTGAATCCTGTATTTTAAGTGTTGGTTGCAGAAAACATGTATTACCTGCTGGACTGGATTCATTGACTGTAGCTGGAGGTACAGGAACAAAAACAGGTGTATTATCATTCTCATCCTCCACATCAAACCTAAGGTTTATTCCGGCTTCAGCCACACTGCCATTATTAAATCTGGCCACTCCTGTTAGCTGTTGAACAGAAATAAAAACACACGTCTTCAAATGGTAATTCATTAGATTTGCATTGTACAAGAGTACAAGTTAGTGTGATACCATGATGTCTGTCAACACCTTGGCCGTGTTCTCCACAATGGCACCTTCGTACTACACCGGCACAGAACAGGCAAGAGATACATTAAATTATACCATTATCACTTTGAACATTTAGGAGTATCTAGAAATAGAGAAAATCAGGAAAGGTCAATGGTTGTATTAAACAAATCAGAGGCTGGTACCTCCTCATATGTTTTCTTTGTTTTAATCTGTATTTTTTTT